CCAAAAAAAAAAAAAAAAGTCACCAACTGTATTATCCCCTAGTAAGAGATTCAGTCTGTCCCTTGAAGTTTTGAAGCTATGCATTAACTTCTCCCTAGCTATAAAAGTCTAAATGGCATCTTCTTCCAATATAAGTCTGTTTTATTTATATTGAAAATCTGTAGCCACCTTCATCAGTGATCTTAGCTAGACCTTCTGAATAACTTGCTGCATTTTCTATGTCAGCACTTGCTGCTTCACCTTTCACTTCTATGTTATACAGATATCTTTTGTTAAACTACGTGAATCAACCTCTGCTAGCTTTAAACTTTTTTTGTGCAGCTTACTCACGTCCTGTAGCCTTCATAGAATTGAAGAGAGTTAGGGTCTTCCTCTGGATTAGGTTTTGGCTAAGGGAATGTTGTGACTGGTTTGATTTATCCGTACCATTAAGACATTCTCCATATCAGCATTTAGGCTTTTTTGCTTTGTTATCATCTGTGTGTTCAATGGAGTAGCACTTTTAATTTCCTTTAAGAACTTTTCCTTTGCATTCATAAATTGGCTAACTGCTTGCCACATAACGTCTAACGTTAGGCTTATCTTGGCTTTCATCACGCACTACTTGCTAAGCTTAATCATTATTAGCTTTTAATTTAAAGTGAGAGATGTGCAACTCTTCCTTTCACTTGAACATTCAGAGGTCATTGTAGAGTTATTAATTGGCCTAATTTCAGTATTCTTATGTCCCAGGGAATTGGGAGACCAAAGGAGATAAGAGGGGAACATCTGGTTTGTGGAGCAGTCAGAATAATCACAACATTTATCAATTAAGTGTGTCATCTTATGTGGGCATATTTGTGGCATCCCAATTACAATCGTAGCATCAGAGATCACTGATCACAGGTCACCATAACAGATAAAATAATAATGAAAAAGCTTGAAATATTGTGAGAATTACCAACATATGACACAGAGACATGAAATGAGCACATGCTGGTGGAAAAGCAGGACAGATATAAGGGTTGCCACAAACCTTCGCTTTATAAGAAATGCATTGTCTGAAATAATAGTAGCACAAGGTGCAATGAAATGAGGTATACCTGCATAGGTAGTTTAGTGGTCAACTGACAATTTTGGTGGTTTTGTTTGCAAATTTGGGGTTTGTATTTTGTATTCACCTCTTCTGGGGCCTACCCCCTCTCTCCCCAAATTTATGGTTGTCTTCTGAGCTTTGAACTTTACCTTCCAGTATCCCAAGTCAGTAAAGCTGCAGCTTTTACTTTGATCTATGAGCAAACTGAAGTTTCTCTGGCAAAATGCAAAAACTTGTAAAGCAGTTAGTGCTTTATGGATTCCCTCAGTCCTGTTTCTGCCTTGTTTGAATTGTTCTCCAGTTCCTCCGGGTTGTGCTATTAAAAATTGCTCAACTTTTGTAATTTTCTTTCTTTATAGGGTTTTGGGTTTTTCTGACTAAGTCCTTTGCCATTACCACATGACCCCTGCTACTTTTGATTATGTTATAAAATTTTTCATCTTCCCTTAATCTCTCCTATCTGTATTATAACTACATTTTCTTTTTCCTGGATTTCTTTAGTCTCTGTTTTTTTTAAAACTATGCCAAGGTAAGTCTTTTTTCCATTAGGCATAATTCACATAAAACAGATATGTAAATTATGGCCTGCAATGCCAGATTTAGCCCGCTAAATGTTTTTATATGGCCTGTAAACTCCTTCATTGGTTCATCAGTTTTAACTTTTTTTTTTTTTTGAGTTGGAGTCTCATTCTGTCACCCAGACTGGAGTGTAGTGGCATGCTTACGGCCACTGCAGCCTTGACCTGCTGGGGTCACATGATCCTTCCACTTTAGCTTTCCAAGTAGCTGGTACTACAGGTGTGCACCACCATGCCTGGCTAGTTTTTTTTTTGATTTATTGAAGAGATGAGCTCTTGCCAAGTTGCCCGGGCTGGTCTCGAACTCCTGGGCTCAGGCAGTCCTTTTGCCTCAGCCTCAGCCTCCCAAAGTGCTGAGATTACAGGTGTGAGCCACCACACCCAGCTTGTAACTTTTTTTTAATTGGTTGTTTTATGGTTCACAGCATTCATCGTTGACTAGCTTCAAGTAGCATTATACCTCTTCTTGGATAATATAAGAACGTTATGATATATTTCCATTTTTCTCTTCCCAGTTTCTGTACCTGTCTTGTCATATATTTTATTTCTACATATTAATATATTAAACCCCATAGTACATTGTTATTGTCTTGCTTCCAATGGTCAGTGACTTTTTAAAGAGTTTGAAAATGAGAGCAAAATAAATATATATAATATATTCACATATTAGTGTTTCCAGTGTTCTTTATTTGTTTGTAGTTAACTGGGTTTCTATCTTTTTTTCTGATTTTTGGCAATTTGGTCATGGTACGCCTTGGGGCCCTTACCTTCATGATGTTTTTTGCTGTACAAGGTTCAGGTTTCATTGGAAATGATAAGGACTGACCTGATTTGGGATATATTTTGAAGGTAGAGCCATTGATTTACAAAATGAGATCCTATAAAACTTTAGGACTTTTGTGAAATCTATTAGGTGAAAAAAATGTATTGCAGTATAATTTTAATTTGTATTTCTCATTTTTTGACAGAGTTTGATCATCTTTTACTACTTATAAAGACTTTGGATTTTTGGAAGGCAGGGATTGAACTCTCATCTTTTCCTCATTTTTCCATGGGATCCTGATTCTTTCTATATTTTTCTTATGAATAATCATAATTCTTATTATTAGGAAGGTAAGCTTTTTGTGATGTGACTTCATTTTTTTGTCTTAAAAATTTTTGTCATAAGTTTTTATGTTTATTCAGATTACTTAAGTATTACTTATATAGCTTCTGGATTTTGAGTTTCAGTTACAATGGCCTTTTCTAGACCCAAATTATAAACCAGTCAGTCCACGTAGTACCCTAAATTTTATTTACTTGATGTAAACTATGAATTCACCCTTAACTTTATGGAGAGTTTATGGATCCACCCCATGGATTTGTTGTGTCAGGTATCCACTAGGTGGTCTCTAACTGATGTTTTTTTTTGTGGAGCTAGATTATGCTTTGGTAACCATTGATCCCAATTTCTAAGGGGCTTACACATTCAGGCATTGCATCAGATTAATTTCTGGCCTCAGAAACTATTTGATGGAATGGACTTTATTGAACTATTTCTTGTCCTCATGACTTGGGACTGATGACTTAAGTTAAAAAGAAATATGTCTTTGTAGGGGTTGGTGTCATTTGAGGATGTTGTTGTGTACTTCACCTGGGAAGAGTGGCAAGACCTGAATGATGCTCAGAGGACCCTGTACAGGGACGTGATGCTGGAGACTTACAGAAGCCTGGTATCCTTGGGTGAGCAAAACTCCCCACTGACTCCCAAAAGTTACACTTTCTTCTTTGTTGGTAAATACAGGAACCACTTATAAAGTATAATGCTACTTAGGCATAGGAATCCAGTTCATAGAGAATGTGTTACTCTTCTCTAATAAAAGGTTCAATCTGGTCCCTTCTTTACACAGTTACTGAATCCCAGAGGTTGTCATTCTTCTCATTTAGCAGTTTATTAAAAGTTCTGAGTTATTACCAATTAACAGGCTGCTGCATTACCAAACCTGAGGTGATCTTCAAGCTGGAGCAAGGAGCAGAGCCATGGCCAGGAGAAGAACCCCGACAGCAGAGCCACCCAGGTTAGTCAGTGCATACTGGGTAGGGAGACTGGGAAGAGCTTAAGGCCAGTGTATGTTAGCAGTCTTGACTGGTTTTGACCAATTTATCCCCAGATCCCAGCCCTGAGAACAGCTGGACTACATGAAATAGCCACCTACATTGTATAATCTCCAAGGAGAACTATCACATGTCTATCTCCCTTTTTTATTTTGCTAAATATCTTTTTTCTTTGAGCCAGAGTCTCACTCTGTCACGCAGGCTGGAGTAAAGTGGCATGATCACAGCTCACCACAGTCTCGAACTCTTGGGCTCAGGTAGAGCCTTCTGGTTCAGCCTCCTGAGCAGCTGGCACTACAGGTGCACATCACCATGCCCAGCTAATTTAATTTTTTTGTAGAGACAGAGTCTCACTATGTTGCCCAGGCTGGTCTCAAACTCCTGGCCTCAAACTCCTGGCCTCAAGTGATCCTCCTGCCTCAGCCTCCCAAAGTGCTGGAATTATAGGCGTGAGCCACCATGTCCAGCCTAATATTTTCTTATGTTTACCCAAAACTCAATACCAAATTTTCTTGTGTTAGACTTTTCTCCTGGCTATTCACTTTCTCAGTTGCCTTCTTTTCCTTCATTCCTTTGGGCTGTTTGTGTTTTTGTTTTGACATTTATTCATGCATCTATTTATTCCTTCAGCACTTGTTGATTATGCTGGGTTTTTTTGAGTTGGAGTTTTACTCTGTTGCCCAGACTGGAGTGCAGTGGCACACTCCCGGCCACCGCAGCCTCGACCTCCTGGGCTCCGGCAATCCTTCCGCCTCAGCCTTCCAAGTAGCTGGAACTACAGGGGTGCGCTACCACACTCGGCTAATTTTTTCATTTATTGTAGAGATGAGGTCTCGCCAAGTTGCCCAGACGGGTCTCGAACCCGCAGGCTCAGGCAGTCCACTCACCTCAGCCTCCCAAAGTGCGAGATTGCAGGCTGAGCCACTGAGCCCGGCTGATTATGCTGTTTTTAAGCACTTCGAATTTTATACTTAAAAAGGTAACAGCAGTGATCAAAATGATGTCATACAATTTTCACTCTGATGAGGAAAACAAAATGATATACAATATGTTAAGTAATTGTGTAAGAATCAGAAAGAATATTTAAAGTGGGAAAAGAGACAGAAATGGGATGTGGTAATTTAGGTAGGCTGGTGAGAGAAATCATTTGTAGAGATTATTATTGATTGACTTGGGTTAGCTCAGTTTTGAGGTAAATATTTTACAAATTTGACATATATAGTGGGATATAAAATATCCATCTAAAATAGAGATGTATCTTCAATTACTACTGAAGATACAAATTTGGAAATTAGCAGCTTAGAAATCTGGTATTTGAAGAGCTTATAGGGAGGTCACCTAGAGAATTGATAAGAAAGGGAGAAAAGAAGTACAAGGGTGAGACTTGTCTACCTCCATACCAGAAATCATGAAGCTGAGGAGGACCCAGCATAGGACCTTGACCAAGTGTACCAAAGATTTCATGTTGAAGAGTCCAGATTTCTGTTTGGGAGTGAAGTTTATAGTTAGCATTTTTCCACTTTCCTTGTGGAAATCATTCTTAAACATCAAAGTAAATGAGAAATGTACAAGAGACTATATTTTTGTGAAAGTAGAAGCCAGTTGAATTTCTAGTGCACAAAAATAAAAACATTCTGAAGTAGTGACTTATCCAGCAGGGGTACCTACACCAGGAATTGGGGGAGATAATGCAAGGGCTGTTTACAGAAGTCAGAAATATACTTTTGGACACAGCCTGTGTTGCAGAATCAATTTTTTTAGACTAATAGGGAAAGGTTTCCCCAGGTGGTAGACTAGAGCTTTCTGTGCCTTTTATGGTTCTGAGAAGCAGAGGAAATTGGATTAAATTAGGAATTTGCATTAAAATGTTTTTTTCTAGTATAGGAAGAGGTTGCATATTTGAACACTTTCCAGATCCCTACAGCAATTCCCCAGAAAAGAGTGAAAAATAAGCGGATACAAATTATTTTTTCTAAATAATATTCTTGTTAGGCAACAAACAAATGGACCTCACCTGCATCCTTGAGGTAGCTGATCTAGGATATTCTTGCCATATTTAAAGCAAAATAATGAGAAAAATACCATTGCAAGACACTCACAGTTATTATAAGAATAAAAGAGAAAAAGAGCCAGGCATGATGGTGCATGCCTTAGTGCTAACTACTTGGGAGGCTGAGGTGGGAAGATTGCTTGAGCCTAGTAGTTTCATGTTGTAGTGGTCTGTGTTGCGCCACTGTATTCCAGCCTGGACAACAGACCCAAGACGCTATCTCTAAAAATAAATAAATAAATAGATAAAAATAGAGAAAAGGAGAAACAAAAGGCAAATGATAAGCACTTAGTTGAAAACTACAAATAGGCAGTAGCTGAATATATTTACCAAATATTTCCTCATATTTTAACAACTGTAAACCAATAAAGTAAAATGATCTAATGTTGGAAAGTCTATTAATATGATTAGTTACATTAATTCATTAAAGAGGAAAGTTAATACTTGTGCCTGTTGATGTTTTAAAATCTCATGTGACAAGGATAGAACAAAGCTTTTTGCCTTTATATGAGTGTTTCATGGGAATTGTGTAATGTGGTTTATGATTGTCATTATTCTCTTCTCATGTTAGATGTCCTGACTGTCAGTGAACTTATTGGGAGCAACCAGGAAAGACAAGACAGACATTTGTGGCAAGTTATAATCACCAACAGCAGTGCGTCAACTAAGGAGAGAGTTGAATTAGGAAAAACATGTATTTTCAGCTCAAACCATATTTCAAAATGGATAAAAGAGAGTGGACACTATTCAGGAATTAGATCTAATGAGTTTAATGCAAGCCAGAATGCACTTCTTCCTAATGAGCATGATGAGATGAAGGCTGTAGAGGAACCTGATGACTGTAATAAAACTGGAAAATTCCTCAGACATAGTGAATATTTTAGTCAGCACCATAGGAATGCTGGGCAGCAGCATTTTGAATATAATGGAAAAGGAAAAGCCTTCAACACAGAGGACATATTATTTACACATAAGAGGGTTCATTTGAGAGATACCTCCAATAAATATAATGAATATGAGAAATCCTATGATAAGTCAGCTTTTATTACCAAAGAGACTACACAGGTAGGAAAGAAAACTTTCTGTAAAAACTCTAATCTCACTAAACATCAGCAGACATATACAGGAGAGAAAACTTATGAATGTATGGAATGTGAAAAAACCTTCATGAGCAAATCAGACCTTATAATACATCATCATAGGATACTCACAGGGAAAAAACTTTATGGATGTAATCGCTGTTTGAAATCCTTCAGCCGTAAATCAAAACTTGCTATTCATCAGAGAATTCACACAGGAGAAAAGCCATATCGATGTAACGAATGCGGAAAAACCTTTCGCCAGAAGTCAGACCTTGGTATTCATTACAGAATTCACACAGGAGAAAAACCCTATGAGTGTAGTACATGTGGAAAAGCCTTCTGCCGGAGGTCAAACCTCAACAAGCATCTGAGAATTCACACAGGTGAGAAACCCTATAAATGTAATGAATGTTTGAAAACATTCTATTATAAGTCAGTTCTCATTGTACATCAGAGAACTCACACAAATAAGAAATCATGCGAATATAAAGAATGTAGGAAAACTTTCTACCGTATGTCAGCTCTCATTGAACATCGGAGAACGCACACAGGGGAAAAACCCTATGGATGTGATGAATGTGGGAAAACCTTTTACCAGAAATCACACCTCAGCAGACATCAGAATAATCACACAGGCAAGAAACGTTTTGAATGTAAAGAATGTAAGAAAAGTTTCTATTATAAGTCAGCCCTCAGTGTGCATCAGCGAACTCACACAGGTGAGAAACCCTTTGAGTGTAAAGAATGTAGGAAAACATTCAACCATAAATCAGCTCTCACTGTACATCAGAGAACTCATACAGGTGAGAAACCATGTGAATGTAAAGAATGTAGGAAAACTTTCTACCATAAGTCAGCCCTCACTGTACATCAGAGAACGCACACAGGGGAAAAACCCTATAGATGTAATGAATGTGGGAAAACCTTTTATCAGAAGTCACACCTCAGCAGACATCAGAGTAGTCACACAGGTGAGAAACCATATGAATGTAAAGAATGTAAGAAAAGTTTCTATCATAAGTCAGCCCTCACTGTACATCAGCGAACTCACACAGGTGAGAAACCATATGAATGTGTAGAATGTAGAAAAACCTTCTGCCAGAAGACAGCCCTCACTGTACATAAGAGAACTCACACAGGGGAAAAACCCTTTGAATGTAATGAATGTGGAAAAGCGTATCGTCAGAAGTCACACCTCAGCAAACATCAGGGAATTCACACATAGTAGATAACCAAAAGATGTAACGAATGTGGGAATACCTTTTGCCAGAAGGTACTGGGGACTTACACAAGGGAGTGAACTGTATGGCTAGAACTGTATGTTATTCACAACATGCACTCTCTCATGTCTGGGAGACACGGGCTGTATTTCCCAGCTTCCCCTTATTGTGGTTGCAGCCATGTCACTGAGCTCTGTAGTAGAGTATGGATGCAAGTGCTGACCACCACTTCCAGGCCTGGTCCACACAAAAACTTACATACAGTTCTCCCTGATAATTCATGCACTCTTGAACTGAAGTTCAGATGACACCCAGCATGTCCTTGGGAGTTGGGAGAAGGTCACTGTGATTTATGACAAATAATTGATTGCATAGAGCAAAGATCTTCCCATCTCTACATGAAAATCACGCATTTGCAGTTTTCGTGAGTGATAAATAAATTCTTCTTTGTTGATCTTTGTTGTTTTATGTGTGATCTGTTTGCCTTAAAACAGACAGCCCACTGTAGCTAATTTTCTGAAAGAAGTTACCAGTCCTTGCATATCAGAACACACTGGAGATAACCCTGTTTCATTATTATTATTCCCATAAAGTCAGTTTATGGAAAAAATCAAATAATTCATGGGTAGAAACTATGCAGTAAATTTGGAATGCTTTATCAGGTGGGGACATCTCATTGAGCAGAATAAAATAAAAATAAATACCTTTAATATATGAAAGATCTCAACAAAACTTCATGTCAGAAAATTAATAGAAGACTTCATATGATACAAATGTAAATTTTATAGAAAAGGTTAAATGCAGTATTGAATATATATATATATATATATATATATATATGTTGAGTTGGAGTCTCACTCTGTCGCCCAGACTGGAGTGCAGTGGCCGCTCCCGGCCACCGCAGCCTCGACGTGCTGGACTCTGGCGATCCTTCCGCCTCAGCCTTCCGAGTAGCCGGAATTACAGGCATAGGCTACCACACCCGGCTAATTTTTTTATTTATTGTAGAGATGAGGTCTCGCTGCCCAGGCGGGTCTCGAACCCGCGGGCTCAGGCAATCCACTCACCTCAGCCTCCCAAAGGCGTGGGATTACAGGCTGAGCCACCGAGCCCGGCCTGAATATATATTTTAAGTGTTTGACTATATATTAATATTTATTTTATTTATTTATTTATTTTTTTGAGTTGGAGTCTCGGTCGCCCAGACTGGAGTGCAGTGGCCGCTCCTGGCCACCGCAGCTTCGCCTGCTGGGCTCCGGTGATCCTTCCGCCACAGCCTGCCGAGTAGCTGGAATTACGGGCATGTGCTACACGCCCGGCTGATTTTTTGATTTATTGTTGAGATGAGGTCTCGCCTCCCAGGCGGGTCTTGAACCTGCAGGCTCAGGCAATCCACTCAGCTCAGCCTCCCAAAGGCGTGGAATTACTGGCTGAGCCACTGAGCCTGGCTTATGTATTAATATTTAAGTGGTGGTATTGCCTGCTAGGGGGCAATTGCTTATCTCTGGAGACATTTTTGGTTGTCATAAATGGTGGTTGGGAGTTGCTACTGACATCTAGTGGGTAGAGGACAGGTATGCTGCTAAACAGCCTAGAGTACACAGAACAACTCCCTCAGGTATGTTGGGTTTATGCATATGAGTTTTTTCTGTCAATATAAATTTTCATCATTGGGACCCAGCATAACTAGGGAAAGAGTAGTCACACATTGTAGCAGGTATTGTAACGTAACATTAGGATTTCCACAATAAATGCTACTCTAGCCTCTATATTGAGTGAAATATATTAAATCTAAAGTATTGTCTGCTTCATAATTTCCTATTTTCCTAGACTCTGTGAATTTTTTTTTAATTTTAAGATTGTGGGCTACAATTAAGGGTTAGGTATACAAATATTCATTGTGCAGTTACCCTTGTTGATGAGGTGTGCCCGCCCCCTTCCCCAGGCAGATAGACTGTGTAAATTTTTATGACCATTATTACCAAACTGTCTCCAAAACAAATGAGTTTTTATTCCTAAATTTTGAAGTTAAAACAGGGTCAGTCCACTCACTCTACCTTTTGATTGGAGAATTTAATTCAAAGTAATTATTGATAGGTAAGTACTTACTAGTGCAATTTTGTCTTCTGGTTATTTTGTAGATCTTTTATCCCTGCTTGCCCTCTCTTTAGGTGGTTTGATGGCTTCCTCTGGTGGTATGTTTTGAATCTTTTTATCTTTTGTGTGTTACAGGCTTTTGTTGTTATCAATGTTTATCTAAAGCACAGTATGCTACTTTAAGTTAATAATTTTGATTGCATGAATAAGCCACATTTTTATTCCCCCTTGACCCACATTTTGTTTTAATGTCACAATTTACATCTTTTTATAATTGTCATAGCTATAGTTGTTTTTAATCATTGTTTTTTAATCTCTAGAGATGAAAATTTACTTATCTACCTGTACTACATTGTTAGTGTTTTGAATTTGAGTGTGCATATTTTTACTGAGAACTTTTATTCTTTCATATATTTTATGTTTCTAATTAGCATTCTCTCCCTTCAGCTTAAATATCTCCCTTTAACATTTTTGTAAGGCAGATCTAGTGGTGATAAACTTTCTCAACTTTTGTCTGTCTGAGTCTTTCTCTTTGCTTTGTTTTGTTGCTTTGGTTTTTTGAGTCAGGGTCTCACTGTCACCCAAGCTGAAGTACAGTGGCATGGCTATGGCTCACCACAGTTTTAAACTCTTGGACTCAAACAATCCTTCTGCCTCAGCCTTTCAAGTAGCTAGGACTATAGGTGTATGCCACTATCTATGCCTGCCTAATTTTTTGATTTTTTTTTTTTTATAGAGACAAGGTAGGTCTTGACAAGGTAGGTCACCTAGGTAGGTCTTGAACTCCTGGGCTCAGGTAGTTCTCTCATCTTGGCCTCCCAAAATGCTGGGATTACAGGCACAAACCACTGTGCCTGGCCTCTTCAATTTATTCATGAAAGACAGGATTTCTGGGTATACTATTCTTGGTTGGCAGGTTTTCTTTTTCTTTTGGGGTTTTGAATAGTGGGGGAGCCAAACCATTTGATGGTTTTTAAGCTATCTTCACTCTTTTCCATATATATTTTTTTATTTTCACATTGATTTCCAGTGACCAGTCTTTGAGGTCATTGGTCCTATCATCTCTCTCTCTCACTCTTTTTTTTTTTTGGCAGAGTTGAGGTCTGTGTTGCCTAGGCTGGTCTTGAACTCCTGAACTCAAACAGTCCTCTCAACTTAACCTCCCAAAGTGCTAGGATTACATGTGTGAGCCACCATGCCCAGCTCCTTTAATGTCTTTGATCTCCCTACTGTTGAGCTCTGCTATTGAATTTTTTATTTCAGATACAGTATTCTTCAGCTCTATGGTTTCTGCTTGGTAGTTTTTAATACTTCCTGTCTTTGAAGTACTTGGCTTGTTCTAATCTTACTCTTCTGGTCTTGGTGAGCATCTTCATGACCATAGTTCTGAATTCCCTATTAAGCAGATCACATCTCCATTTCACTAGGGTTGGTTTCTGTAGATTTTTCTTTTTTTATTTGAAACATGTTTTCCTGTCTTTTCTTTCTTCCTGACTTTGTTGGCTTCTGCACATTGACAACATCCTGTTTCAGTTTTGCCACACTGGCTTTGATTAAAGCATATTACCATTTCACTTGGCTAGAGATTATAAGATGTCTCTCAAATTTGTGTTTGTTCAAATTGCTGTCTCTATTTTTGGTGGCCCTGTAGTAGGAAAAATAGAGAGATCGTGACACCGAGACTATTATAGGAAGTGGCACTTTATTACGCTGGCTAGCACAGCACAGTGGGCCGAGAATTTCATGCATCCAAATCAAGCTCGAGCACCCCAGAAGAGGTGACCAAGGTGACCTGGGGTCTTACACCCTCATTTAGGTAAGGGAGGGGGTCGTGTTGAGTGATTACATATTTCCTTTGGAATCTTACAAGGTTGTACTCGGCAAAATCAGATTTTTCAAAGAACAAATGGTTTCCAGGAACTGCAGGATTTTAAACCATCAACTTCAAAAGGGGGGCTTTAGATAAGACTCTTTTTCATTTCCATGAAATAGCCAGTCTCTGGGCCATTTGGCCTTTCTTAAACAAAACCTGCCTGATGTGGATGGGCCTTTAAAGTTGCAACTTGCCTTTCAAAAGGAAATACCTTTAACTGCTATCAACCTTTCCTTCTTGCCGCTGGGCTAGTGGCAGCCCAGGTGAGGCCAACTGCTGATCCCGAATCAGCCACATGTGTTTCTGTGTTTATTCACTCAATCACACAAGAAATATATTTGAGCATATGTCGCCTCCTGCCACAGCCCCATGGGAGATTAGTAGTTATTATGTTTTATCAGTACTGAAAGACAGTAAGGTGGAAGACTACATCCTTTAGATGTAGCTGTAAAGTTTGGGGTGTTAGATGCATCTTCTCACAGAGAAGGTGGGAGTGATCATTTATCTCCCATTGTCTACACTAAGCCATGGGGAGGATCTGTGACAAATATTTGCACTTACATTCAGACTATGCCCTCTGATCCTGGGGAGATAATAGATGTAAATGAACCCATTGTATGTCACCTCTCTTTCCTGTGGTCTAGAGAAACTCAGGAATGGAGAGCCTGTTCACTGCCAGAGATGGGTGGTTAAGGAGGCTCCCTTGTGGAGAGGTAGCTATGGAATTATGTGACACAAGGTGTGAGGACAAATCCCTTCTGAGAAGAATGAGTAGAGCTGTATTTATTACTGGGGCTTATAAACAGGGAAGTAGGCTTAAGAAGTGACAAGCTCTAGCTCAGTTGCCAGAAGTCTACTTGCCCCCATTAACTTCCTTAGGCAAGTTGCTTAGAAGGCAGGTCATCAAGTAGCCACCGGATGAGTATGTGTAAACTCCTTCCAGGGAGAAACAGAGCTCTACATATAAGCTGCCTTTCTACAGTGCTGCTGAAGGTTGTTGCCCTTGAAAGTACTGGCATGCCCATTTAAAATTTAAAGTTACCAAATTTTCTGTGATTTATGGAAACTTGCACATGCTCAGTCTCATCTGCTTCCATAACTTGGAGGTGTAGGATGTAGTCAATAGGATGGAAGCTGTAAAAGTTTAACCATTTGATTCATGAACAAAGTCCTTCTAGGAGGAGTTGGTAGACCTGGAATTATCACCGCTGTGAGCCAGGGAAGAAGATTCAAGAAATGCTTGAGCTCTGCTCCCACTTCCATTGGAGGAAGTCTACTGTTTCTTGGCTCCATTAACCCCCACTCCATGCTACTTAGAAACTCAAATGTCAGCAGCAATTGGTGTAGAATTCTGGAAAGTACAGAGAGTTGTGGAAAACACAGAGAAATGGGAATCTATGAATGTTAACCTATTCTGCCCTGGTTCTGAGGTCCCTGGAAATAACCTGTATGACTGTATAAAACTGCCACTTTGGTATGTGATCG